TTGTAAATACACATATGAATGTGAGTGTTGAAAATGTATGACAGTACATCTAGAAGATGACTTATATTCATTTATTTTGTATTATTTCCATGGGGATTGCCTAGGTTACAGTGACAGCAAGAAGGGGAATTGAGTTTTCACCGTTGAGACTCAGATTAAAGAGAGTATAGCTAATGACAAACTATGACTCCAGAATTATATGAGGAAAAAGAGACAGCAATATTTAGGCTTCTAAATGTACCATATAAATCCATTATTAGTTGACTAAGATTATTGGGGGAAGCAGAGGGAGTGAACTGAACAAGCTGCAAACAAGGCAAGCAATAAATTATGGATTTATAGCAACTAATTAGCATTATTGGTCTTAGAGCTAATATGAAATTGTGCAAACGCTAAAGTATGGATATAAAAACAACACTAATTATTTTTAAAATAACATAAACAGAGATTCTTAACATTTCTTCTTCCACATAGTAGTCATTTTCTGCCTTGAAATAATTAGTGACACACTATCTATAGTACATATGTTGAATGGTATCTCCCATTGTTGCCCAGCTACGATTATCACAGCTCTCCTGTCTTTGCCTGGGTGTCATTCTTGAGTTCTAGTGGTAATTGAAGGCGATGGCAATATTTAAGCACAATAGTGAGATAATCATTTTTATTTGCTTTGTTAAACACATGAACTCTGTGGCTTAGACTCTACTCTGTAAAACATATTATGCGAAGTAGAGAGACTTGCAGCATAGAAATTAGTTAGAAGGGTATTGCAACAGTCCCTCAATTGCAGGGCAAATGGAATAGGGAGGCTTCATTTGAGATATCTTCCTGATTTGCCAATTTTTAATTTTGGGACTTGGTTAGTAGATGGACACAGAGTAACTAGTTAGTTGTAATGCCAGTTAGAAGGAATGTGAATTTAAAGTAATAATGTTAAGAATGGGAGGAGGCAAAAAGGATGAATTCCACACTTATTAAGAAGGTAGAATTTTCAGGATTTTTTTTTTTTTTTTGCGGTATGGGTTTTGAACTCAGGGCCTTTACTTTGAGCCACTCTACCAGCCCTATTTTTGTGAAGGGCTTTTCAAGATAGGGTCTTGCAAACTATTTCCCTGGACTGGATTCAAACCATGATCCTCCTGATTTCTGCCTCCTGAGTAGCTAGGGTTACAGGTGTGAGCCACCAGCTCCAGGCTAGGATTTTTTTTTTTAATAGACAGTGTTTGGAGAACGGGGAGCAAGGATGATGTTCATGGTTAAAATTTTTTCTATCACAGTGTCCCATTCGTAATGACCAATGTAAAACATCAACATCTTTTGTAAATAGAAAAAAGACCATTACATGGTGTTTAGAAGGATATATGATACAGAAAATGCCATCCATACACTCATAAAAATGCATTTTTTCATCTAGAAAGGAAAAAAATGCAAATAAATGATAGCTAAAGGGGTGGGCACACTACCACTCACAGGTCAAATGGAGATGATGCCTATTTATTTTTTTATGAACTGCAACTAAGAATGCTTTTACATTTTTAAATAGTTGAAAAGATCAAAGAAATAATCATTTTTTGACATATTAAAATGAAATAAAACTCAACTGTCATATACATAAAGTTCTATTACAACACACTTATGTTCATTTGTGTACTTATTATCTATGTTTTTTGTTGTTTTTTTTTTTTTTTTGTGGGACTGGGATTTAAACTCAGGGCTTCACAATCACAAAGCAGGCAGTCTACTGCTTGCCATACCTGCAGTTCATTTTGCTCTACTCATTTTGGAGATGGGGGTTTCCAGAATTCTTTGCCCAGGCTGGCCTCTAATTGTAATCCTGCAGATCTCAGCCTCCCAAGTAGCTAGGATTACAGGCATGAGCCACTGGCGCCAAGCTTTGGCTGCTTTGGGACTACAATAGCAGTGTTGGGTGTTGTGATTGGGACCTTTTGGCCCTCAAAATATTTTATTTGGCTGAAGATGTATCTCAGTGGTAGAGCACTTGTGTAGCTTGCAGGAAGCCGTGGTTTGAGCCCCAGTACCACAAGAAATATGACTATTTAGCTTAAAAAGTGAAGTATTTACTACCTGATCCTTTACAGAGAGGGTTTACCACCTCGTGATCTTCTATGAGCCAAATACTGTAGTAGGAATTTCACATTTTATCTCCTACAATGCTTCTCAAAGTCTCTAGAAGCATATTAAATTACAGAGATCTGGCAAAACTATCTCTATGATGTAGGACAATAACGTGTTTTAACTGCAAATATTCAAATTGTTTACACAAACATAGTATCAGGAATACTGGTAAAATACTGCTATAGATCCCAAACGACCATACAATTAAAGCTGAAGTCCTGGAACATAAATTATTTTCAGTATGCAATCTAGTCCCCACCTCCTTTTTTCCACATCTACGGGGTTTCTCCCTGTTCTCTTACCTTATGCATGCAGAAGCTCAAAGTGACACATTGAAGAAGTGTTTAGTGTTCACTTCATTTAGGTCCCTTGTGTACCTTTGCCTTCCATGCTTTTCTTCATTCTCCTTTACTTTCTTCATCAAACTACCATTACGAAATAAAAAGAAAGAAACAAACAAATAACAACAATAACAACAACAAAAAACCGGGAACGAAAGGAGAGAGGGAAGGAAAGTGCAAAAAACACATAGGTTTTATTCTTATCTCTATGGTTAAATTTCTCACATCCTCTAGGGTGTGTTTGTGTGTGTGTGTGTGTGTGTGTGTGTGTGTGTGTGTGTGTAGTTTAATGCCATCCAACATCTATTAGAGGTTCACTGAATGGTCATTCTGTCATTGATTTCCCCTCCTTCCGGTCTTCATCTCCCATGGGAAACCTGGAAAACAGAAAATCTTCCCACGGAAACTCCTCAGGGGCGCCCCAAGATCTGGATTTGCGCACTTGCACTCCGCCGGCGCTGCAGCCCTGGCTGCAAGTCCGCGGGGTCTCCAAGCACAAATCCAGCTCGAGATCCAAGAGCTCAGTCGCGCGCGCGTGCGCGCGCTCCCCTTTTGGCCCCCTACCCTGCAGCAAGGGTAGCGTGACGTAATGCAACCTCAGCATGTGAGCAGCAATATAAAGGAGCACAAGGCGGCGCGCCTCCCAGACGCAGAATAGCTTGTGATTGGTTCGGGCTGCTGAACCTCGGAAACCCGAATGTGAGGACCTTACAGATGTACAGCTGCCGCCCCCCGCAGCAATCCCGAGCGCGGTCTTAGCCTGACTGGCGGCGGCGACGGCGGCGGCGGCGGCGGCGCGGTGACAGGTAAGGAGACTCCTGAGGAGAAACTACAGAGACTTGGGTCCGCCGTGCTCAGTGTCTCTCCAGGGCGGAGAGGAGAGGCTCACACCCAGTATATAGTATAGGATGAAGGGAACAATGGAAGTGGCGTCTAGTCCCTAAGCCTTACCTCCTCCCCGGGGCGGACAGTTTTTCTCATTAGCGGTAGGCGAGGGTGGAGGAATTGAAGAAAAGTAAGGGTTTCCCCCTTAGTCAAGCCCTTCTTCCCCTAGGCCAGAGCGCCGGGAAGCTAGAGCCGTCGTTGAGGCCGTCGGTGGTTTAGGGTGACAGGAAAATGGCGGAAAACAAAACGGTGAAGTGAAGAATGCGGCGTCCCCTTGGCATTTTCTCACAGCGACCCCCGCGTATTCCTTTCACTCGCATCCCTACCGCCGCGTCGCCCCTGTCCCCCTCCCGCCGCTAAAGGTAACCTTTGGAATTCGCGAGGGATGGCAGTGTTTTGTGAGGAAGTGGCATTACCGAATCGGGCATTTTAGGGAATAGGGAGCCTTCAGCGCCTGGGTGTGTGTATAAGGGGGGCGGGTTGCTGTGTGAGGCAACTGTCGCCTCCACTAAAACACCACCATTTTGGTTCCCAGCCGTCTCCCATGTAGCGGGGCAGAGGGAGCGGGAGAAGGCTGAGGGGCTGAGCAGTGGGTAGCAGCGGTGGTAACCGCTGCACCAAGTGACAAGAGGGAGGAGGAGAAAGGGTATTCTTGTCTTGTTGGTCTCTTCTTTTCCATTGCGAAGGTTCGCTTGTTCGGTTTCAGATTCAGTCAGATAGGTAATATCTGAGAGGGCACGTGTGTGCGTTCTGCTTGAAATGATTGAAACTTGGCATGGTCGTGGGAAAGGGAGACTTCTGCGGGAAGAGGGCTGCGTCCAAAGCTGCAATACTGCTACTTGCCAGGGCTCCTTTGTCTCCTATCTCTCAAATACTACTTTCGGGTTCTCTTGCTCGGCTGTTTTACCGTTTCTCTTCTACCCTTTATCCTGTTGACATCACTGAGAATCTTAGTCCTGAATGAGCTGATTAAAGGACACAGATTCGAGTTATATTTTATTTTACTGATTTCTGCTCGCCGTGCATTGATGAAAAGATGTTTACCTGAAGCTTACTTGGTAGGTTACCTCCATTTGAGTGTGATACACTGTTCAGAAGACTAAGAAGCCTAGCTACTTATTAGTTATCAAATACTTAACACACTGCTGTTCTCTTATTTATTATTGATCTTTTAATGTAAGTTCCTATATGAAAAAACGGCTCCAGTTTATTTATTTGGTATTCATACAGTGTGATACTTCCCATAATAGTTGTATTTTGTGTTATAATTTTTACATTTCATGCAGGGATAAGGCAAATTTTTTTCTGTACAGTGCGATTTGGCAAGGATAAACATTGATGGTTCTTCTTTACTTTGCAAAATGGTGTTGCTACTAATCTTTAAAATATGATTTACAAAAGATTTTTTAAAATCAAGTGGTCAAATCTTAAGTGTAAAAGAATTGCTTTTGTTGCAGTAATTTTTTTCTGTTGGCATCCCTTTGATTGCTTTTCAGATAAATACAGATTTGAGCATATGAGTCCTTCCCAATCTCACCCTAGAAGTTCAAGTGTAAAGGGAAACACTCCTAAGTTGTGTAAGAGATTTAGTTGAAATTGTCTTAAAATACCTAATGTTGACTGTATTTTTACCATAGGTAAAGAAAACGTTTGCCGGAAGAAAATGACATAGTTTGGAAGTTACAAAATGTAAGGAAATCTACAATTTTCTTCAAATCACTTATAAAGGTGATTAACAAATTACTTAACATTTTATCTTACTTAATATTTAGACTAAATAAAAAATTAAAGCATTTTAAAACATTTGTGGTTGTTCTATTAGTTATGTGGTAAAGGGAACAATTGGTCAAATTAAAGTTCAAATAACACACTGTTTTAAGTGTCAAAAATAAGTCCTTATGGTATTTTAATTTATCTTGTGTGAACATACAGGTAATTTATTGTGAACTCTCTTGGCCTCTTGACCTTATTTTGCATAACAGCAAGGCAGAAAACAATGTGGTTTTTGAAAAAATAAAATGCAACTAAGAATTTCTACCAAATATCTATCTACTTTTGGTCCCACATAATTTTTCCTCATTTCTTTGATACATAGAAATGACAGCCACACAGATGTAGCATACTTGCGTTGATGAGGAGTTACTTGTGAAAATTTTCTGCCTCATGTACATGTATAGAGCTTTATGGCAAGGAAAGAAAAACAAAACAAAAATCCTTAGACATCCCCCAGTACTTAAAAATAGCTTTCTTTTACACAGAAACTTTCTAAAAACTTCATTAAGGATGTAACCTCATCTTTTGTGCAGTATAGCCCATTTTATTAAACACTTCAAAGTGAGAATGAGATAAATGCCTTATGCAATTAGCACCTTTTTGGTTGATTTACTTAGAATCTTATGTTTGTACATATGTAATTATAAATGATATATTGACAGCATCTGGCTTTTTGTTTCATACTATCTGATGATCTTAAATATAGGATCTTGAATTCAGGAAATGAAACAGGTTTGAGCCTTTGCTTTAAAAACTCTCATGAGTTAATCACTACTGAAAAAAAATCAGTTGTACAATTGCAAGTGATATGCTGAAAGAAACATTTTGCTAAATGTTTGTATGTGATTGATCTTATCTTTACCATATTTAGGAAACAGTCATGTTTCATGAGTCCTCAAAACTGTGAGACAAGAGAATGTAGTACAGTGAGGCCAGAAGTCCTTTCTGGTTCAAAGAACTCCAGGGAAACTGGGATAGAACATTTTACATTATAAGTAGAATCCCAGGATCCAGAGGTGAATACAAGTTTATCTGCAGAGCTCCGCTGCAGGGCTGATCTGGGTCTGGAAGAAATGGATGAGAGCCACTGGATGAGATTCACTAATACTAGACATCTGAGTCCTCTAGTAATGTATAAAAATATCCCAACTATTGTCTGTTGTCATCTTGTTCTTTTTCTTCTTTTATAACTGGAACTTCAGTGCTGCAGTTTTGTTATTTTGCTTGTTTCTATCACTTCTCTATGGCTTATCACCCTAACTGTGTCTCATTCTCCATTATTTCTGTTTTACTTCCACCTACTCCTTCTTTTATTTATGGTTGTCACATAAAGCATCTAATCAAGGTTTTGGTGGGTTTTGTTTTTGTTTTTGTTTTTTGGTAATGCACTTTGCATACCTTGTTGAGAAGCATATTTTCAATTGCATTTTTCTCAGAACAACAGACTTTAGGCTAAATATTTAATTATTTTAAAAACAATTTCTTTTACAGATATTGGTGAATGAACTTTGCTAAGTATGGATTCAGGTGGTGGAAGTCTTGGATTGCACACATCAGACTCTAGAATGGCCCATACCATGATTATGCAAGATTTTGGTAAAGCATTTTTTCGTTGTATTTTTTTCAAGTGAAAATATGCTAAAACTCAAAAATAAATTAAGGAAGGAGAATTACAATAAAATATTATTCTCTCAGTTGGAAAATAAATTTGTAGAGTTTATTTTATTAAAACAAAGATACACATCAGTGATCTACTTGAAATCATTCTTAGGATTTGTGGGAAAATTGAAATAAAGAAACAGAATATAGAGGTGATATGTTACAGGAAAAGAAAAAATCACTTTACATAAGTAAGTCCGTAATTGTATTCCATTTTGATAGTATTTATCAGTTTCCACATGCAGGAAATGTTAAAATTTCCTTTCTAAATTACATTTAAGTTGCATTGCTAAAAAGATGGGAAAAGAAATGTTTCCATCAATTCAAAGGCTCTAGATGCTTATAAAGTTATATAGGCAAAATCATATACTTGGTAATTAATTGTATTCTGATGCTATTTATTTAGAAAATTGTCACCAATAGTACACATCTCTTTTCCTTCCTTCCTTCCGTCCTTTCTTTTTTCCAAAAGAAAAGACTCCCTACTTGTGTCCAGTGATTTTGGTAGTGTCTTTTTTTGATGGTACTGGGGTTTGATGTCAGGGCCTTACTAGACAGAGGCTGTACCACTTGAGCCACACTCCAGTCCTTTTTGCTTTATTTTTCAGATAGGGTCTTATGCTTTTTGCCCCAGGGACTTGGCCTCAGACCTGGATTCCCTAACCTATGCCTGTCACGTAGCTGGGAGTACAGGACTCACACTGGGCTTTTTGTTTGAGATGGAGTCTGGATAACTTTTTGTCTAAGCTGGCCTTAAATTGTGATCCTCTCGATCTTCACCTCCTCTGTAGCTGGGATTACAGGCATGTTTAACCATGCTTGGCTCTTCAGTAGCCTGTTAACAGTAGTCATTTTGATGAAGATACTAAGACTCCACTGATAGTCAACAGAGAAACTGAATTTGGATTAAGTTGATCTGAATTGTAGGGGAGACAGATATCTGAAATAAAAAAGGCAGGGACAGTATCATAAGAGTTGAAGTTGTGATTGGAGTGAAAGGATAAAAATGGCAAATTGTGAAAAAAATAAACAGGATATATAAGATGCTATGGAGTAATAGTAGTAATAGGGACCTAGAACTCATTAAGAAATGCTCAATTAAGAAAATGCTACTACTGTTCTAACATAATGTGACTGAATATGTCACTTGGTCCCCTATTTTAAAGCCCATAGTAAGAAGAATCAGAGGAACTGGATTCTTGCCTTGGTTGTGCTGTTAACTAGCTGTTTAATAAACTTGGGTAAACTACTGAATCCACTTTTCTAATGAGGGGGCTGGACTAAATGACATTTAAGGTCCTCTCCAATTCTGTGATTCTTTGACATTTCTGATGGATGAGTAAAGTTGGGTGCATCAAGAGTGAATGTGAGTCAGGTGGTAGTGGTTCATGCCTATAATCCTAGATACTTGGAAAGCTGAGATTGGGAGGATTGTGGTTCAGGGCCAGCCAGGGCAAATAGTTCACAAGACCCCCATCTCCAAAATAACCAGAGCAGAGGCTGGAGGTGTGGCTGAAGTGTGAAGCCCTGAGTTCAAACCCTAGTTCTACCAAATAAATAAATAAATAGGGATTCTTTCCAAAGTGTGAAAAATATCTGATTGGTACACCTTTCTTTTTCATTGCTCCTGCTCAGTGTCCTGAGGTTTGATCAATCCTTTATTACATTTGATGTTTTATTTCCTTTTAGTTGCTAAGGAAGTAGAACATGCATATTGAGCTGTTTTTATATACAAGTTTCTTTTTTATTGAGACATAATTCAGTACCATACTATTCACCTATTTTAAAGTTTATAATTCAAATACTTACTAGAATAGAGAATTGTGCTATCATCATTACTGCCTAATTTTAGAATTTTCTATCCTAAAATAGCCCATCATTCTCATTAACAGCTATCCCCATCTTCTTCCATCCCATTAACCCTAGGTATCCACTAATTTATGGATTTACTGCTTTAAATACTTCTTATAAATGAAATGATATAATGCATGCCTTTTGTGTTACATTTCTTTCACTTAGCATGTCTTCAAGTGTCATTCATGTTGTTGCGTGTGTCAGTACTTTGTTCCTTTCTATGACCAAATGATAGTCAAAGAATAGGTGAATCACATTTTGTTTATCCATTCATCTGTCAATGCATATTTGGGTTGTTGAAATATTTTTCACACTTCAGAACATAAAGCTCTGCATCTTAGATCCCTTTCCTTTAAGCATGTAGCAATGTGCCAGGGCAAACTTAAAACTACAGGATAAACAGCACTTCTTCTTGGGGTACCTTTCATATATTTACACACAATTACAGTTCCATAATATAGTATGGGCTGAAGGAAAATTTCCATTCCCTAGCTCTTATTGTTTTAGGAATAGTAAAATGGAAAAGTCTGGGAATGACTTCCAGTTTTTCATGTTTTCATAGTATTTAAATCCTTTCCTGCAATGAATTTAATAGGGTAAATACACTTATTTATGCTAAAAATGTATAGCCACTGTTTTTTGTTAATACAGTTATTTAACTTTGTGTCCATATTTTTGTTATTTTAAAAGATATATTCTTTTAAATTCCATTTTATGCTCTCTTAATTTGAGGCATGTAAATCAATGTCAGCTAAATTGTTTTTATATTTTGATAAGATTGTTTTTCTTAATTTCCAGTTTAATCAAGAACAGCTAAAGTGAGTAGTGCTCACTGATTTGTAGTTTGTGATGACGTTGACCTAAAATATGTTAAGATTCCATTTATCCTTGGTAAATGTATTTTGAACCTTTAGAAATTAGCAGCTGTCTCTATATTTGATGTATAGTTGTAAGCAAAGCTTCATACATAGGTGTTTTCTTTTTGTATGATATTTTATGAAATGCAAAAGTTTCAAACTGGTCCAAACCTAAAAAGACCTTTATTGAGAAGACTCTTGGAAATTTTAATTCCAGTAGCTTAGATTTCTTCTAAAGCAGTGTTGTGTACTTAATTTATCCCCTTGTTAAACTTTCTAAAATCTAAGATTTCTGTAGAAATTAGATATATTGTCTTTGAATTTCTGTTCACATTAAAACTTAAATGTTTGTACCGCATAAATTAGCAGTATTTGTGAAACAGAGTTTAGCACGGTGCAGGTAGAGCCACCCAAATAAAGTACACTATATGTCATAAGATTTTCAAATCCTATAAGGTTTCTGGTTGGGAGTATGAGATATCTACTGTATAGTGAATCTGGAACATTAATCTAGACTTACCAGATCAATTTCTTTTAGAAGGTAGTTGAGGTTTAAACTTTTACAACATTTTGCTTTATGTGGTAACTTTATTGGTGTCTAAGAATAATGATTGCCCTTGGAGTCTGAGAAAATTGTAATGTGTGTTTAAGATTTTAATGTTGCAAAAGTCTGCATTGCCTTGGGACTTAAATAGCAAAACATCTTTAGATAGTGGTCCAAGACAGACTCACCAAAAGCAAATTTTATGCTGTCACTCTAGTGAAGTTCTAGATACTCACATTTTAATTAAATAACTTCAATAAAATGGGAAATACTTGAAATCTGATTTGTTTCTTATCATTATGTGGTAATCTCATTGATTTTACACTTTTGAAATAATTTTTCTTATCATTTATAATTCCCTATGCTAGTAAGATAAATTCTAAATGCCATTTTGTGCTGCTTACTAAATGCTTTAAAATTCAAATGAGTTCCTGTGTGATAGGACTTTTTTGTGGTGCTAGGAAAGGATCCCAATTCCTTGCACATGCAAGGTAAATGCTCTAATACTGAGCTGCATCCCCAGCCCATGATATGTCTTTTTATGCTTTTCCTCAAACTATTACTTTGCTAGTGCCCCACATGGTTCATCCTATAAATCTCTTTTAAATTTAGTCTCTAGAGCAAATAAATGAATTTCATCCTGCTAGGCAAGTAGAAAAAAGACAATCTGGAGTCAATGCATTCAAGTTTCCAGATTGAGCCTTGGGCAAGCTTATTTAACCCTCTAAACTATAATTTCTCCATATTTAAAGTGATAATAGTAATACTCACCATATATAGTTGTTCTGAGGATAATATATATATAAATATATATAATCAGATTGACACATTATTAGTGCTTAATAAATATAGCCAAATAAATGGCTCTGTTTAGGAATTCAATAGACTCTAACAGATAAACTTGTAGAGAAAAGAACAAAATTTAATACATGACATTTTGCATCTTGGTCTGAGTAATCTGACAGTACTCTCATTCATCAATTCTTATTCTAGGATCCTTGAGATCATTTGGTTTAGGGTGAACAAGGTTTAACAAGTATGTTCATGTTTGTTTTTGTTTAGAGCTGATTGTCTTTTAAGTTCCTACCAGAGGCTAGGTGAACTTACAATCACTTATTCTATCTTTATAGAATTCACCAGGCCAGGTTAATCTGAACACAGGCCAGCACTAGCACTATTCTGTCTTTCCATCCTTCTCTGTGGTATACTCTGAGGAACCAAACCAACCTCTAGAAGTGCTCTAAAGTGAATGGTGTCTCATGTCTTTTAAATCTTTTATGGGATTTTTGTGAAATACTAATTTTATTGTCAACATAAAAAGGATTCCAGCACTGTGAATTTTACAGGCTTACTATTTAATTTTCCTTGCTAAAACCCATCATATTTTCAGTCTGGTTAAATGCTAAATTTGAAACCGCATCCCTGACCAATGGAGGATATATGAATACAAAGTACTTGTTTAAGGACAGGTACAGTGGCTCACACCTACAATCTCAGCTACTCAGAAGGGGGAGATAAGGAAGATCATAGTTTCAGGACAGTCCTGGCAAAAGTTAGTGAGACCACGTCACAAGAAGAAGAAGAAAAAAGCTGGTCCATGGTGGCTACCATGCTTGTCATCCCATCTACACAGGAGGTGTAAATAGGCGATTGCAGGCCAGCCAAGGCAAAAAACACAAAACAATACCTGAAAAGTAAATAAAGCACTAAGGACTGGGGATGGTGCTCAAGTAATAGAGTGGCTGTCTATCAATCACAAAGGCCCTGAGTTGAAACCCTAGTACCTCATACACACACACGCACACACACTAGTTCTATACATACTACATTTGTCTACCAGTTGTGTTCTTTTGATGTAAATTTGGTGGTTTAGGTGAGAGTTTGAGAATGGTGAAAATAATTCAGAAGAATTAAAAGGAAGATAATCTCAAGAGGTCTGTTGAAAGCTCCCTTTTTACCTTATTCTTTCAATGTGTCAGCTAGTTTTCATCCTTAACTCAATTCCTAATGAATGGGTTAAAAATAGACAACATTCTATAACTCTAATAGTACAATAGATTGCCCACTTGGCAGTCCTTCAGGTACTACTTTATAGAAAGTGATCATTAGTTGAAAAAGACTTTATATTGGATAATTTCATGTAGATAATTTATTATAGTCAGCCCCACAAACTTTATTGTTTACCACCTCAGGAAGGCGGAATTTAAAAGAATTCCCCATGAAAAGAGTTTATTCTCATATAACATTTATAAGGCAGATAGAAGTTGTTGTTTACTCTGTTGCTCAAGAAAAACCTTAACGTTTTGTTCCTGTTTTATGTTTACTATTATCGAACTAAATCTTAGCTTAAAATAAGGTGTTAAAAATGTTTTTCACTTTGAGATGTAATTATTCTTATTACTTAAAAGAATTTTAAGGACTTTCATGTTTATAATATTTTGTAATATATTTTATTAATTCACTTATTTGAACATATTAGTATTCTTTTATGTCTGTATACTTTTGTTTTCACTTTAAATGTTGTGAAATAATTATAGCTTCATAGAAGTAAGAAAATGTAGTATATCGTGTTTTGAGTATACTTTACTCATGTTCCCTCAACGGTGGCATCTTATGTAACTGTAATACAATATCAAAACCAGAAAATTAACATGGGTGCATTATAGTTTACTAGAACTACAGATCTCATGCAGTTTTCATCATTTTGCCATACACTTTTGTGTATATGTGTGTGTGTAGTAGCTACACAACTTTATTCCATGTGTAGATTCATGTAAGCACCACCACAGTGAAAGTACAGAATTGTTCTGTTACTATATTTATGCCACCCCTGTGTATTCATACATATTTCTACGTTTGGAGGCCACTAATCTGTTATTCATCTGTATAATTTTATCACCCTGACAATGTTTTATAAATGATTCCATTTATACATTATAAAGTATCACGTCTTTATAGATTGGCTCTTTACACACAGCATAATTTTCTGATTCATTCATGTTGTTGAATATATCAGTAGTTTATTCCTTTTTATTGCTGAGTGGTATTTCTTGGTAAGGATGTGCAGAGTTGGCTTAATCAACCGTTCACCTGTCGAAGGACATTTGGATTTTTTCTAGGGTGTTTTTTTTCTTTATATGATGAGTAATCGTTACTGTGAGATCTTTTGAATATTTATGTGCAGTTTTTGTGTAAAAATATGTTTTAAGTTTTCTAAGAAAAATGCCCTAGAGTGCAATGGTTGGTTTATATAGCAAGTAAATGTTTAGTTTTATAAGAAACTGCCAAGCTATTTTCCAAAGTGGCTGTTAACTGTTTTACATTCACATCAAGAACATATAAGACATAGAGTTTCTTCACATCTTCATAAATCTGTTTTATATTTTACTTGTTTTAATTGGGGTTTAGTGATGTCTCATTATGACTTTTATGTTTAACTTGGAATTATTTTTAAGGTCTTAATTTAGATTTTACTAACATTTTTCACCCTCGTCTACCCCAATTCCTAGTTACTGATGGTTTCTATTGTAGTTATGCTGCCATCAGTGTTTTGAAAATGATATATTTTATGAACTAGTTAATATTTAAGAAGCATTTATAGCATTTTGTATGGCACTTTTAATTAATAAAATAACTTTACCTTTTTTGATAATTGTTTGTTTTATAGTGGCTGGAATGGCTGGTACTGCACATATCGATGGAGACCATATTGTTGTTTCAGTCCCTGAAGCTGTATTAGTTTCTGACGTTGTCACAGATGATGGGATAACTCTTGATCATGGTCTTGCAGCTGAAGTTGTTCATGGGCCCGATATCATTACAGAGACTGATGTAGTAACAGAAGGTGTGATTGTTCCTGAAGCTGTACTTGAAGCTGATGTTGCAATTGAAGAAGATTTAGAGGAAGATGATGGGGATCACATCTTGACTTCTGAACTAATTACAGAAACTGTTAGGGTACCCGAGCAAGTTTTTGTGGCTGATCTTGTTACTGGTCCTGGTGGCCACTTGGAACATGTGGTCCAAGATTGTGTTTCAGGAGTCGACTCTCCCACAATGGTATCAGAGGAAGTTCTTGTAACTAATTCAGATACTGAAACTGTGATTCAAGCAGCTGGTAGTGTTCCTGATTCTACTGTTACTATAAAAACTGAAGATGATGATGATGATGATGATGTCAAGAGTACTTCTGAAGACTACTTAATGATATCTTGTAAGTGAAACACAAAGTCCTCAAATCACTCAGGAGATAATGTAATGTAAAGGTTTTCTGGGATGTGGGATATATTTAATGAAAGTTGCGGGGGTAACATGTTTGAAAAATAATTTTTTACAAAATCGTGTTGTTGAGATGCTTTTTGACTTTACCCATGTTTCTAATTTAATTAGTGAAATTTTATAGCCAAAGTGGTGTAAAATAAGACAATGTATTAACATCTTAGAATAGAAATACAGATTTGTAAAGTTCAACAAGAATTTTAATGATATGTGTGTATACAGATACATATATAGTTCAAGGTGGGGACTCATGTGTATAATCCTAGCTACTTGGGAGGCTGAGATCCAGGAGGAATGTGGCTTGAGGCCAGCTTGAGAAGGGAGTTCTTGAGACCCCATCTCAACCAATAGCTGGATATGTGGTGGCACACACCTGTCATCCCAAGCTACATGGGAGGCTGCAATCCTAGCTACTTAGAAGACTGAGATTTGGAGTATGGTGACTACTGGCCAACCCTGGGCAAAAAAGTTTGTGAGACCCCCATCTCAGTGGAAAAAAAATTGGGCTTGGTGATGTGCACTTGTCATCCCAGCAATGATGGGAAGCATAAAATAGGAGATTTGTGGCCCAGCCATCCTGGGCAAAAAATGAGACCCTGTGTCTAAAATAAGGGCTGGAGGCATGGCTCAAGCATTAGAGCACCTGCCCTCACAAGTGCAAAACCCTGATTTCAAACACCAGTACTGCCCATGTATGTGTGTGTGTATTTGTGTGTGTGTGTATACACATATACATTTATATATTTTTTCAAAACAGAAGTAACATTTTGCCACCACTGTTTTCTTTTTCAATGTGACAGGCACTGGAGTTCTCAATTCACCTTTGTGTTGGAATTAAACATAACGCATTAAGAAATGTCTTAAGAGATTTTCAAATGCTTGAGACAAAACTCAGTTCAGTTCATGGTCTCCAGTTCTGTTGGGTTTCTGTTCTGTTTGACTGTATGTAAATGTATGTGTGTGTGTGTGTGTGTGTGTGTGTGTGTGTGTGTAGTCTACACAATACTGTTTAACACATTTATTTCAGACTGCTTTGTGAGATTCTTAAAACATTTCGTCTGAAGAAGAAAGAAATATTTTGTTCTCATTTTAAGTGATAGGTTTGCCAGAGCATCAGAGATAAGTCTCAGGATATGTTATTGATGGAGTTTTAAAAAGAAGTGAGTCTATACTTTATAAAATTTAAAGGGATCATGCTACAAGTAGTAAAGACTAGGTAAAGACTTTACTTTCCCAGGGAGAATTCTGTTCTTCTTTTTAAAAAAATACAAAAAAATGATTGAGAAAAGAATCTACATTTAGAGTGTATGTGTGTGTGTGTTACTGTACAAAATGATTGTATGTTAAATGTGTGCTACTGAATTTAAACTAAAAACAAACTAGATTTATTTATTTATTTAATTTGCAGATATTATTCTAAAGTCTAGCATGTTAACCTTTCTTCTATCAGCACTTCTGAAGGCAAATATTTACATTTTTTAAGAGAATGAGTTAAGCCACTAAAAGATTATGCAAACATTTTTATCTTTTAAGAAAAAAATCCACGTGGATTACCAAAGCAACTCCATATTTACATCTTAACCTGACATTATAACAGCATAGTTATCATTTAAAACATTCTAGTAATATTTTATATTCTCTCTGTACTAAAAGTCAAGATGCCTTTAATAGGGTGTCCTTAAAATTAAACTGTTTGGTACTAAAATGGTCTAAATTTTAGACATCACATATTGTGAATAGTCATGCTTTACATTATCTTCTATGATTTTTCTGTAAAAGTTCTTTTCTTCCAAAAAGCATTTCTGAAATATTTTAAGTTAGAGTATTTATCTTCATAATTACCACATATGTATCAAATGCAAGGAATTCTGTCCTTCTATTCTAATAGAAGTAGACTGAATATTAAAGAGAACATTTTATTGTTCTATATTATTGGAAGAACTATGGAGTAACTTTAGGGGAATCTAGGCTTGGAAGTACTGACTTTTTAATTATTACTAAGAAAATAGCATCAATGATTTTTAAATGCCTTTTAAACCTATTTTGTGTTATAAAAAATGTGTACAAATACACAAAAACTAAGTATTTTCTCTATTATACATTATCCCAATACCCATATCCTTAACTATTTTTATAATGGTTATAATACTCAAATTGGAACTATTCACTCTTGCCATTTCTTTTTGTTTTGTTGTATTTTCTCTTCATCTCTTCCTTGATCTTCCTCTCAGTTTCTGTTGGCTGTTGAATCTTTCAGGAATTAGAATAAATTTCCTTTAAAGACCTCCATGTTAAACCAAGAGATCTTTTTCTATTTTTTTCCAAAATAGAGATGTTCTAAACATCTAAGAGTTAAAGTTGAGGAATTTAAACCGACCCTTGTCTTGTTCCAAAATTCCTAAAAAATTTCTATAAGGAATCTTTATCAATAGGTGAGTTTCAGAGTTAGGGATTTTATCTTCTTTCAATTTGAGCTGCATCTGAATTCAATCCACATTCAGGCTAAACCTCACATACACTTTATCCTAGCAGATGGTTAGGCTCTACCACTTGTGCTCAGTAACTTTGAATTTAATGCAGGATATCCGTATCTGTCTAATGTTGTCCCAGATGTACTTTTTAAAAAAAATGTCTAACGCCCTTCAGACATTTCAGGGTGATTATTTCTTTCATGAAAGGCTTCACTAGAATAGGAAGGTTCCTTTATAAATGAGCCACTATCATTTATTTAAATGACTTTTTACTTATAAAAATTAATTCATATTTTCTTCAGGGACATAATTTTATGTACAGTAGACTATCTTGATAAATTTCATTCAAACATCAACAGTTTTGGTGGTAAAAGAAAAATGTTAAAACTTTTATAATGCTCTTATATAACCACTTTTTTGAGATGCAGTTTACATACCAAACAATTCACCCATCTAAAAGTTTTTAAATTGCTGTTTTAGTATATTCACAAAATGTAAAACCATCACTACAATCAATTTTAAACCCTTTTCATTATCTCAGTATTAAACCCTACAACCTTTAAAAGTTACCCACTATTCCATCCACCCCCAGGTAAACGTTAACCCAATTTATAGATTTGCTTATCTTAGACATTTCATGTAAATAGAATTATTACAATATGTGGCCTTTCATGTCTGATTTCTTTCACTTAGCTCAATGCTTTCAAGGGTCATTTGTGTCATAATATGTATCAGTACTTCATTCTTTTTTATTATCAAGTCATATTCCATTACATGGATATAACACATTTTTCTTATCCATTCATCAGTTGATGAACATTTTTTTGTTTCTACTTGTTGGCTATTATGAATAATATTGTCATGTAAATTTGCATATAAATTTTTGTGGGGGTATATGTTGTCACTTCTTTTGGATATATACCTGAAGGTGGCACATTTTTGAAAATTAAATGTGACTATTTTTGGGTTTTTCTACATTATGAAATAAAGGTCCTTTGTTTATTGCTTTAATTCCATCCCTGTAGTACATTAGTACACTGTGTGGTTATATTGTGCTCATAATTTTAATAGATATAACATTAAAGGAATAAAGTAAAAAGCTTACATAGCTTTAAAAAGTAATCCCCTTGTATTATTAACATTTGCTAATTCAAAAATAAAATTAAAAATTTAAATATAATGTGTAGTTTGCTAAACTGGATTTTTAATCAAATTATGAGGATGAGCTATAAAAAATATTGAAAATTATCAAACTTTGCATTATTGACAAACAGTGCATCTTACTTTTTTGTATTTAGTGCCAGTGGAATTTTGTGGTGAGTATCAATATTATACACTTATTGAAAGGTTGAGAAACAACACTGTGGGGCTTGAATACTGCACACTTTACTATAAGCAAAGATGTTAAGTTTGAGCTGTAGACATTTTAAGTAAGGTTTGCATTAAAAAGAGTCATTGAGAGCCAGGCATGGTAGTTCATGCCTGTAATACCATCACTAGGGAGATTGAGGCAGGAGATTCACAAGTTTGAGACCAGCCTGGGGTACATAATGAGCAAAACTTAGTATTAAATTTAGTTGATTGCCTATTAAATCTTTGTTAGCTTTCTACTTTCTGTAACAAGTTGGTGGTGTACCTCTTCAAACTTCTTCAAACTGCATGTTAACATCTTTATCATCTATAACATTAAAATAAAGAACAAATTGAGTTATTTAGTTCATTTCAAAATTGTTCATTCTGAGGACTTTAATCTAAGTAGAAAATAATGGATACATTAAAGCTTGGATCTTAATAAAAGGCAGAAATGGAATCAGAAAGAATAGCAACAGAATAAGTAATGAGAATAGAAACAGTAATTTCCATCCTTAAAGCTAAAATTATGGTATGCAATTTGGATGTGTTCAAAAAAGTGTTATTTCATAAGCTTTGGTTTCATGAATTACAGTTTAATTCAGAGGGAAAATAGAAAAATATTTATCAAATGAGTATTTTTAGTGTCATTAATTTACTGTAAGTTATTTCAGCCTTAGAAATTCAAATTTTGCACATTTTTTGATGTTTTTGTGTATCTTATATCTTTACTTCCATGAATAAATAAGTACTTTTTTTCCTGAAAACAACTTTCTTTTAATTTTAATCATACTTTTTCTTTCATCTTAATTTGTGTTATTCTCTCCCCCAAAATTGCCAAAAAATATTGTTGTATAATTAGGTGCTATGGTGGAATAAAAATATTTAGTCTTTTTTTTTTTAAAGCTGTCCTGGTGTTTGAACATAGGGCCTCATGCTTGCTAAGCAGGTTCTCTACCTTGAGCCACTCTACTTGCCCAATATGTATTATTTGGGTCCTGTCTTTCATAGACACTAAAGAATTCAAACTGTAAAATAGAATGGAACTTTTATATTTAAACAGTTTAAACATGAAGTTAAAGTAGCTTTGCAAAAGTTAATGTGTATTGAATTTTAAAATAAATTAGGGAAATGTAGACTTTGACCCATTTAGATCTTCCTGAAATTTTCAAGAGTACAAAGTTTTTACCTTTTTAATGCATTTTATTCTGTTTTCCCTAGTTTTAGAATTGTTAGAAATACTTAGCAGTTTCAAGATTTTATGTTTCATATACCATGATATATGTATGTGTGTATATATATACATACATATATATATATATATATATATATATATATGGAGGATCAGATTTTCTAATTTAGATTTAGATTATATTTTAGTTTTTATGTGAAGAGCATTGAAGTTAAAAATAGTAGGCATAGAATATTTAAAGGAAATGCATTGCTTGGATATGACTTATGGACATGGTAATGCTTATTAATAAGTTAACTGAATAGTTCACATGTAGCATGCATGTGAGATTAATGTTATCTTTAAAGAAAGTAGAGCAAAGAACAAAAATTTGTAAGTAAATTTAAGTAGTAGTCTCAAACACTGTTGCTTTATTTTTCTGTATGATTTTTTTTCATATGTGTTGAACCATCAGGTTTTTAATAAGGGAAAAAGAAGTACCCATTTAGATATTTCCTTCATATGTGAATTTTAAATAAAGCATACACTGCTAAATTTACACTCACACAAAATTTGTAGTCTGATGGCCCTAGGGACTCAACAAAAATTAGAGTAGTAAGGTTCTATTTTTATGATTCATGAAAACTCCTTTTTATAAAATCATTTAGATGTTCTCTGTGTTTCACTTTTTAAATTTTAGATGTCACATGCTAATTGGTTTTAGAAGCAATTGCTATTTAATTTGAGAGTTGTTTATGTGAGCTTATTTTATTGCTTATTTTATGAGCAATACATATGCTTTGTTTTAAATTTTTCTGTTACTGATTTTAGTGATAGGATTTAACTTAAAATGCAAAGTGTGCTTTACTTCAAAATCATATATGAAGGAAATACCTAAATGGATTCTTCTACTTTTTCAGTTATACTTACCAAATTTTATTTTCTGCTCTACAGTTTTTAAGGATGGCATTAATCTCACATGTATAGAGTACATAACCTGTGCAATGAATATGTTATAAACTTTGTCATGGTAATAGTCATATTCAAGCAATATATTTCCCCTAGATATTATGTGCCTACCATTTTAAATTTCAATGGTGTTTCTATAATAACATCATTTTGGTGATAGTATTTAATTTAAAACAGTTTCATAATGTAGTGTACCTGGTCTTATGTACTATTTTTCCATGAAATACAACATTTTTAATGACTGCATAATAGTTAATCAAATTAATATACTAGATAGGTAGTTAACACATTTTTTTAACTTTTGCAGTTATGGTTTACACTCACAAAATATCAGTGGTACATTTTGATTGAAATGGCTTTATATTTTACAGTGGATGATGTTGGAGAGAAATTAGAGCATATGGGAAACACACCGTTAAAAATTGGCACTGATGGTTCACAACAAGATGTTAAAGAAGATGAGTTTGGTTCAGAAGTGATAAAAGTGTATATATTTAAAGCAGAAGCTGAAGATGATGTTGAAATAGGTACAAAGACTAATTTATTGTTACAATAGAAATTAGAAAAAAGTTTATAGATCTTTTAGATGTTATATTTGAAAATTTTACTTGAATATATGAATATACAGCAGGAAGATGGGCTATATCATTCTTAGATTCTTTCAGACATCAGTAGAATATTGTAGTTAAAATATCAAAACAAATTAGAGGATTTGATTAAGAGTAAGAAACTGTAATGAATATTTAAGAGCATGTATTCTAGTGGCAGGCTGTTTGGATTTTAATTCTAGTTCTGCCACTTAGCTGAGTGACACTCAGTGATTTCCATAATCTCTGTCTTCCTCTATTTCTTCACCCATAAAATGGCCATAATGAAAGTAACTACCTAATATGGCTGCCCTGAGAAATAAATGGGTAAATGTATGCAAAAGATTTATATAGCATTTGGTATATAAGTGTGATATATGTGTTAGCAATTATTGTTATTTCTCTGAGCACCGAAAACTTAAAATGCAACTTACATGAACATTTTTATTGACACTTCGCAGCTTTTTTGGATTTTAAAAAAAGTTTCTAAAAGAAAATATTTCTTATGCATCCTTACTAATTTGGGGTTATTCCATGATGCTTCTCTATTTTGATATGCATTTTAATTTTTAAGGTGGAACAGAAATTGTCACAGAGAGTGAGTATACCAGTGGACATTCTGTAGCTGGAGTGCTTGACCAGAGCCGAATGCAGCGAGAGAAGATGGTTTACATGGCAGTTAAAGATTCTTCTCAAGAAGAGGATGATATCAGTAAGAAAAAAAAGGGTTGCTGTAGTAACTTATAGGTAGCAATTATACAATTTTAAGAAACAAGCAATCTCAAAAGATCAAAGCACTGTATAAGAATAAATGTTCAATAAACTAACATTGGGAAGGGTCCATGTATACATGATAAATGATTATTCAGATCAGCAAACATGAAATCTATATCTCAAATAATTTCTTATCAGTAGAGAGATGAGCAATATATAGGCTCTGACTTAATAGAGCTCATGAATATACCGAAAATTCAATATTGCCGTGTATGTTGTTAGGTATGCTGCGTATATTATCTCATTTAATCCTCACAATTCATCTTCAAGGTAGATGGTATTATCCCTGTTTTATAGAAAAAAAAGACTTAGGGAAAATAATTTACCCAAGATCAATCTAATATTATGTAAGAAGTCATAATTTGAACTCATATCCAACTCTGCTGCCAATGTTATTCCTACATGGCAGCAAGCACTGTTAGCCTCTCTTTGGATTTAGCAGTGGAAAGGCTAACTGGTTGTTCTCTATCACTGAATAGTTAGATGGGTAAGTATTCATTCATTCAAGCTAATCTGCCAGGATTCTGATTTATTATGCTTTCAATGGTCTCTGAGTAGTTGTGTCTTAGGGTTTCTTCAGTCTGAGGACCATAAGGTAAAAAAGCTCCTCAGACTTTCCTTCCTGTCATGTGTCATGTTTCTTTATGAAGACATTTTACTCTCAATCTACTTTCTCTTTACTTAAGTGTACAGTTCTTATTTAAGGCTACTTTTGTCTCCTTGCGATGCTGAGAAAACACAATTTTGTTTTGCCTTAGAAAGGCAAGAGCCTCCATTTCACAGCATTACCCTGAAAATGTTGTTCTTTACCTTATGCTGCACTTTGGTAGCTATTCCTCAAGTCTCCTTCTCTAGAAGCCATGGGGAGGTAAAGTCTACCCCCCAAACATGAGTAGTATATTACAGCTGAAAATATCAAACAAATGAGTAACAACAACAAACCCCCTCCCCCCAAAAAAAGAAAAGTAGAGAGGACTTGGGTTGAGAGGAAGAGTTCAATGAAATAATTTCTATTTGGTTTCTAAATCCTTTATTTTTATTAACTAGTCAGGAAATGGAAGACTGAGGCACAGGTTACCTGATGCCAGCATTCTGCGAGGATGTGGAAAACGTAGATCTACTGTGTCTTTTTCTGATTAATAGAGAGAAGAGGATCTTAGTTGAATAGGGACACATTTTTCCCACATTTATTTTCATGTATCTTCTATAATAAACAGAAGATTTCAGTATTTAAACCAAAAGAAAAGCGTATATTAAACCAATTTTATATGTAACAGGTTAAACATAAAACTATTTTTCACATAAAGTATATAAAGTGGCTCTTAGGTTTAAATAGTTTTTTGCCACGTTTTTAAAAAATGAGACTTACTACATCTTTTTTCTCCTCAATAATAGTCTTAAAATCCAGCTTCTTGAAAGGTGGCCACAGATTTCTTGTACATCAACATTTAATACTTAGAGTATTATAAATATATACAAATATAAATATTTTTAATTGTTTTTGTTTAACTTTATTCAACTACTAGTATTTCGATTAGTTTGCATTACACATGTAGTATTACAAATAGCATGTGGGATAGCATAAATAATTTTCTAGTATTGTTTCTATAGAAAATGTTTGCTGAGTTCCAAAGAACTCAGGCAAATTTATGGAATACAACCCCCTTTATAATTTTATAATGCCCAATGGATTGTAAAATCAGCCAATATATTTCAAGTGCACGTTTTATATAATTAAAAAATCATTTTGAGACTGGGCATTATGGGACATACCTATAATCCCAGCATAATCCCAGCACCCAGGAGGCTAAGGTAGGAGGATTCCAAGTTTGAGGCTGGCCTGAGTTACATAGTGAGACCCTCTTTTAAAAACAAAAAGCCATTTTTATAGGAATTGATTTTAGGAAGAGGATAAGAATTTTGGGAAATGATTTTCTCTGAGTAGCACTAGCCTCCAAAGGTACCTAATATAAATTTAAATTAAATTTATAAATTTTTAAATTAACCAAACAAATTCTGAAAGTTAAAAGATTTAAATTGTTTGGAATTTTTACCCATTTATTAAATATTTAGGGTAATAAACAAGCAATTATTTCTAAAATTTAGGTTGCGCTGAAATAGCAGATGAAGTTTACATGGAAGTCATTGTAGGGGAAGAGGAAGGAACTTCTCTCCCTGAGACTCAGCTTGAGGACTCTGATGTTAATAAAACAATTGTCCCTGTTGTCTGGGCTGCATCATATGGTAGGACACTGGCATTTTTTCACCTGATAAGTACATAACATATGTATTTACTTGGCCTTTAGGCCATTAAATATGCTTTGCTAATGCCACAGCGAGTTGGCTAATATAATAAAATGTTTTGCTACAGACTGATTCATCTCTAGTTACTTTACATAATTTTTCTATCACATATGTTATACTATTTAATATAAACCTTGCTTAATGCATTTCTCATTAAGATCTATATTAATCCTACCGGTATAAATGAGTGCCATAAAACATTTTATTTTCCTAAAATAGTAATATCCTTCCATCCACTTTGAAAATCAATCCTCCCCCTTTGGAAAAATTTATTTAAATTATAATACCACAAATAATAAATTTTGAGCTTCTGAATGGAAACAAATTCAAGTGTGCTATTTTAGAAAGTATGTAATGGAAGGTTATTTATCAAGTTATTTTTTCCTATTCTGTTTGTTTTTATCTCATTCCTAGTCATGAACAAGATGGACCAGGTATACTCTTTACTTTGAAAACTTTTGGTATTCAAATATGTCAATTTATCCAAACACAGTTCTCCCAAGGCTTCAGTCATTCAGCAGTCTTGTACTGAACATCACCAATTCTGGGATACTCTGAAGAAATAGCTACTTAGTTTTTATTTAAAATTTAAATTTGCTTTAGATATTAACAATTCCAAGGATGCTGACAGTAGCCTTTATTTTCAATGTATAAGACTTGTCTATAGGAGTAGAAGAACAAAACAAAAATTTTACTTAACCCAAGGAATGGTGAGAATATAAGATTGTATATTAAGATATGATCTGCTAGTAATCACTATAATCAGTGTATCAGTTTGTAATCAATCTTCTTTTCTAGGAGATGAAAGAAGAGTTTCCCGAAGGTATGAAGATTGTCAAGCATCAGGTAAGAGAACATTACGCGTGAGATGTCAGTTAAATATATGATTTTATATACTTCTTGGTAAGCAAAGAGTAGTTAGGTTGTATCTATAGACACATTTGTTGGACTGTTAGTTGCCTGATCATAGATGCTTCATAGGAGCTTGCCTCTTCATAAGCAATTAATTTATGCATAGAAATAATGTGCATTAATCTGTAAATGCAGTTCATTTTAGATTTCCCTGAAAAATCTCAGGCACTTTTCCTTATGGGCTATAAAAGATTGCTATGGAAAAAATTATAAAATATAAATTATTTGCAGAAACATAAAATTTGCTCATGATATCACCATTTATTAATGCCTTTCTTGAGGTGCAACTCTTTTCTTAATTTACCTGGCAACTAGTTGGTTTATATATACAAAACTTACATAAAATCTATGTGTCATTTTAATTTCTTTTGGTTTTAATGTACTCTATATAGTGTTATTCCATGGTTGATCTGATTTTTTTTTGGTGGTACCATGGTTTGAACTCAGTGCTTTGTACTTGTTATGCAGACACTCTATAGCTTGAGCCATGTCTCTAGTCCTTTTTTTTTTTTTTGCTCTGGTTATTCTGGAGATAAGGTTTTGCTTTATGCACAGGCCGCCTTGGACCACAA